TAGACAAATTTATTTAATGTGAAAACGTAAGTTTCATATCTACCTTCTAAGTTTTCAAATTCGACTAAGGAAGATAATAGTCAAAATAACAATTAATTATACATTCTAATAGTCAAATCTTACATTTTTATCTACTTACCAGTACCTCTATGGGTTCATAAAGGTTCTCCCTAAACGTAAACCCAATATTTAATCTATCATATAATCAGTCGTCTTCATATCCCGTCTGATAATGGAAGCCAACATACCACTGCCTTGATACTCCGTCCGGTATGAGGGTTAACAAGTACTTCCTAACCTCTTCCAGAATGGGACTACTCAGCCGCGTTCGACTGACCTAATATTTACGGTAGGATTTGCACTATATACATGGTATGTACATCATTTTCTATGATACCCGATAAACCTTTTGTATGGATGTTTACATCGTCAATCATTAACAAATTACACACAACTATCTTATCACATATTTATAGAACAGTAAAACGACAATTAAATAGACAATAAAAATTGATACTTTAAAAACTAAGAAAAACGTGATCAGGTCATTTATTTTAAAACAATCAACATATAGGAATATATGGTTAAGTAATTAATAAACGAGAAAATACATAAACTTATGAATTAAAGTACATTAGGTAAGCAACAATAGTAGTCTAACAATAAATGAACAATATAAATAAAATAAATAATTTCGTACTGATCAGTTATCAGCTTCATCAGTGACCTGTATTTAATTAATTAAGAGTTTTTAATATTCACAAATTTTACCATTTATTATTTATTAAACTTTAATTAACCGTAATGAGAGAAAATGTGAGATATTCTTACATTGGGTTGGTGTTCGAAATACCATTTTTTTCACTGCACTTCTTGGCGTTTTTCAGATTTTTTGAATTTTTTCTGCAAAAACTAAAAACACGCGTCACGTATAATACCCTAAAAAGTCAAAAATAAGGATTTTTAAATTTTTTGATCGGTTTAGGATTTTGACACGGCGACGTCTCCTCTCAGTTTGGCTAGTTTCGATCGATTTTGTGCGAAAACTTGCAAAATTCGAGGTTAGGTGACTTGAAAAAAAAAAAGAAAAAATTGAAACTTACTAGTGGGATGATTTTTTGGTGCAGCGGCTCCGTCGTTCCTCTCTCGCAGCCAAGGATTTTCTTCGGTCGTGCTTCACCAGAAGAGGGTTAGGAATTTAGTGGTCAAAAAATGGAAGGAAACAGGAAGCGGAAACGGGCTTATCAAAGCGATTTTAGGTCGCGGGTGCGACAGTTCGACTGTACTCTGCCCTACATTTTTTACTTCTTTTTTGGCTTTTCGACGTCGATATGGGTGTAGGAATGCTTAGAATCGAATTTCGAAATGAAAGAGGAAAAAAATTGACATCTCCAGTGTCGGCGGTGGCTCCGGTGTGGCAGCAACAACGATCGACTTTTCCTCCGGCCACCCCTTTTCTTCTTCTCCAACGAGGTATGTTGCGGCTATGGTTAGAGTTTTATGAGAATAGAGGTTTAAATACCCTCTTCGCGTTAATTTGAACCGTCCGTGGAGAGACATGTGCAGCACCGATGATCGTTCTATCTCGCCTGAAAGGAAAATAATCCTGGACCATCCGATCTGTGACATGCAAGCCATTCGATCGAGCCTATTTGATAATCAATCTCGATCGTCCACTCGCGCTGGAGGGGATCTGAGCCGTCGGATTTGTTGACATACAGATCGCACGCATAACTTCTCGAGTGGACGTGTGTCCGCGTGTCCGCCACGCGGTGTGCTACGACTGGCCACACTACTGACATGGTAGTTCACATGACTGAATTCATGTTATTTTCACTTTTATCCGAATTTTTTAATTTTTTTTAAATAAAATTTTTCTTATTTTTAATTTAATCTTGATTTTTAAAAATATTTTAAAACATATTTAAAACACAATTTTTTAAAAAGATTTAATTAAAAATTAAAATAATTTTTTTTTTTCTAATTTAAGTTATTATTATAATTTAATTATCTCGAACCTAATTTCTACACCCAAGTGTTTTATTTATTGTCAATGATGAATGATTTTATTAACTATAACAGGCATTATATATATATTTTTTTCTTTCAACAATATTAAAGAGATTCCACGGTAACATATATTTGATGCACAAAATAATTGTCTGTCCATAGACTTACAGATTGAGGGCTATTTTAGCAGCTTAAATCCTATCAATGAATAAATTATTTTAAAATTAGACAAATATTTTTATTTTTAATGAAATATTACACTTTTTCATAACTGACGATGCCTTTTACCCAACAAAATCCTAATGTGTTAATATTTATTTTGACTTCATAAAACTTTGGCCATATTAAACTTGTGTTTTAATTATACATATTAAATTTGGCACAAGAATTTAAAATTAGATAACTTGAAATTTAATAGAAAATTGGTCGTACTCAGAATATATGATCGAACTGATAATTGAATTGGGCCAGGCCCACCAGCAGATCGGGCAACCAGCCACTAGACACACTGTACTCGTCAGTGACGAATGATTTTGCTTAAAAACCACACGTGCGAATTGGCAGCTTTGGCAGACACGTGCCAATCCTTTGTCTCGTTCTAAAAATGATGAGAGATATTTCTCCGCCTTACATAAATCCTGTTCCGCTCCCTCGGTTTCCCGCTCCAACTTCAGTCCTCCCTATCCATAAACCCTACTCAAAACGCACATTTCCAGGGTTAACATTTCTCCCATTTTGGACTAGTTTTCATCTCGGCGTTTGCAGTTTGGGCATTTGAAGAGTTTATCCCTCTCCTATTGTTTTTACATAGACTCTCGTAGACCAGCTGTGTCACCAAATATGGCTGCCTTTAGTGCTCTCTCGCTGTGTCCATATGGTTTTACGTGTCGGCCAAGTCCCAGGAAGCGTTCAATTTTGTGCTCTGTTAGCTCTTCTACTACCTTAGGCATGTTATACGAGCCTTTTTGCTGCATCTGCTTTTGTTTAATTGGTTTCTTTAGTGGTTGGTTGTTTGTTTAATAGTTAAATAAACATAAAGGGAAATGAGGAAATAGTGAGGATGAGATTCTATGTTGTTTTGCTTGATGAGCTCTGGAATTTCTAGCTTCTCCTAGTAAAATATTTGTACTGTGGTTCTGTTACTGGTCGTTTTGGTGCAATCGAGCCGTGGATTTGAGGTAGTAGAGCAGAACTAATCTCTTCTGTAAAGTAACAATGCTAGCCTTATTCAAATAGCTGGATTCTACCGAGTTGTAGTTTTTGGTTTTGTTGGGAACTGAGTAAGGGGATATATAACATCTAACTGACCGTTGAGGGTCTATCTTAGCATCATTCCACAACAAATATTGTATATAATTTTCTCGGGCTTATTAATTCTTGATGATTTTTATTTGTCGCTTCGCTCTACGATTCGAACTTAAACTGTTATTTACATAGACCCCCTTTTTCTTCCTGGCAACTCTCATGATAATAGTTTAGTTATTGATTTTAGAGATTCGAGGAGATACTTACTGTTTGTTATCAAAATTTAGGTACACACACATCTAAAGTGCCTCGTAAAAGATCAGGTAGACTGGAAGGTGCTGGGAAAAGCATGGAGGATTCTGTTAAACGCAAGCTAGAACAATTTTATGAAGGTTCTAGTGGTCCTCCACTTCGCGTTCTTCCAATTGGTGGCCTTGGTGAAATTGGGATGAATTGCATGCTGGTTGGAAACTATGATCGATATATTCTAATTGATGCTGGTGTCATGTTTCCTGAGTAAGTCTAATTGATGTATTTAATTTTGAGTTACGGGGAGATTAATCTGTCTGAAGGTTCCTTCAATCCACTGGTTCTGGTGTCATAGATTATATTCTAATTATCAGTTTGATGTAGATAAGTTATTTAAATAATTGTTTTATATGATCACATTGATCAAACATGATTCCCTTCTGTGTGGCGCTATCAAAGAAAATCTCCCCCTCTCCCCCCCTCTCTTTCTCTTGCTAGCTCTTACAGAATGTGGGAAACACTGAAAGTCAATGTTCTCCTTTTGCACTCCACAGTACCTATACCATTTCTTGCTGAAAGTTTTGCTAGTTCAGCTTCCACCCTTCTTATCTTATGTTTTGACCTCGCATGAGTTGTCTGACGTTTTTCAGCTATGATGAGCTTGGAGTCCAAAAAATAATACCAGATACTACATTTATCAAGCGATGGAGCCACAAAATTGAAGCTGTTATCATAACACATGGACATGAAGATCACATTGGTGCGTTGCCTTGGGTAAAGTTTCCTTCTACTTTGAGGTGCCAATTTGATTCTGATATTGACAGATTAACTACTTGGACTTGTCTGATAAATTTATCTCATTAGCACTGTTCGCAAGCATCCATATTGAACTGTCCGAGCTTCTGGTACATCATTGTCTACAGTAAATTTAGATGCAGAGATGGCAGTTCTCACAGTATGGTGAAGTAAATTGGTATATTTGCAGATATCTTGTGGTTGATGGCACTTGCTATATACTTTGTATTTAATGGGTGACCCCTGGCCTGGTGAAAATTTGGTAACTGTGAATTGAGTAATTTTCTGGAAAGCCAATTGAGTTGCATTTAATGGGTGACTCCTGGCCTGGTGAAAATTTGGTGAATGTGAATTGAGTAATTTTCTGGAAAGCCAATTGAGTTGCATCATTTAATTGTTTCAGATCTTCGTTTCTTTCTTCTGTTGCTACTGCTCTTTTGTAAACATTCATTCTTATTTTTTACTTATTTCTTTATGAGCAGGTGATCCCAGCTTTAGATTCCCATACACCAATATACGCGTCATCCTTTACAATGGAGGTACTTGTCATATTTATGGTGTTAACTTGTGCTCCCAAAAACAATTTACTTTATGGCCTTCAAAACCAAATTGGTTATAAAATCTGCATCCCTTGCCAGCTGTTATATCTCAGCCAATACTTAAGTTCCTGAAGGGTCCTAATGTAACAAATATAAAAGTAGGTCCCAACTGTTACAAACTTTATTGACTTCAAATGCTCTACTCGATTGTAATCTCTGTATTGGCTGATCTGTGTTCATACTATCCGATTGTTGTATTCTTTCTGTTGCATTTATTAAGCATATCAAGCTTCTGCTTGTGATTTTTCTAGCTTGTAAGGTTGATGCATTTTTTCTTATTTTAACAGCTTATTAAAAAGCGTTTGAAGGAGAATGGGATCTTTGTTCCATCTAGACTTAACATATTTAAAACAAGGAGGAAGTTTATGGCTGGACCATTTGAGGTAGAGCCTATCACTGTAACACATTCTATTCCTGATTGTTGCGGATTAGTTCTTCGCTGTGCTGACGGTACAATTCTTCATACCGGGGACTGGAAGGTATGTCATTCTTATCCATAGGTTTTCTTAAAACAATTCATTACTGTAATTCAAGCTGCATAAGCGGTTAATATGTAACAGATTGATGAATCACCATTAGATGGGAAAGTGTTTGACCGTCAAGCTCTGGAGGAACTCTCAAAAGAAGGAGTAACATTGGTAAATGTTTTTTATCAAACCGTAAACTTTTTTACTGTTGAAGGTATATGTTAAGCAAATTCATCTGGTTTACCCTTGGGCAAGGTGTGGGAGTTCAAAAGTGATTATTGGCCAAGATAGAAAATATATGGCTCTGATTTGATATGCTTAAAATTAAATTTAAAAGAGGAATGTCCTATCTCTAGTATTCTTAGCTTTGGCTGTGTTTCCAGTAACATACTACCACAGTACACAATGAACCTGCTATTTTGGGTAAAGATGGTTGTCTGGCCTCGTTCTTGGAAAGATTTTCTGAATTAAAATTGAAGAATATTCTCCTATAATTATTCCTGGAAATTGGTAAGTTATTTGGAAAAAAAGTATTTCTTGGATTGCATTTTGAGGTTAAAGGGACATGTGATGTATCTTTATTCTTTGTTTATGCTGTTAAATTTCGATGGCATGTGATGTATCTTTATTCTTTGTTTATGCTGTTAAATTTCTTTAGAGATTAGTAATTCTTGGTTCTGTTGTTCTTTATGAAGTAATTTTCTCTCACTATAGAGAGATATTTACCTTTTTATCAATGAAGAGATCAGTATCCTTGGGCACCTATACACTCTTTCTAATGAAAGAAAAAATCTTATGCACTTGTCTGATCTGACTGCAATATGCAGTAAAAATATTTTAAGTCTACCATTCTTGAAGGGTTGAATAAACTTGAATCTAATTGATGTCAATTTGTTTTCAGATGATGAGTGACTCAACAAATGTAATGTCACCCGGAAGAACAATTAGTGAAACAGTGGTAGCAGATTCGTTATTGAGGCGTATTTCAGCTGCTAAAGGAAGGGTTATTACTACTCAGTTTGCATCAAATATACATCGCCTTGGAAGTGTAAAAGCTGCTGCTGATTTAACCGGTAGAAAGTTGGTATGTCTTCTTTGTTTTTGTACTGTTTTTCCATTTACCTAGTAATGAACTGCTTTGAGTTCAAAAAGTTTGAAAGCGGTTGTTTCTTAAGGTTGAGGAATTCTGGTTATTGCTATAGGTATTCGTTGGCATGTCCTTAAGGACATATCTAGATGCTGCTTGGAAGGATGGAAAGGCACCAATTGATCCATCAACTCTGGTAATAGTATCTTTGAACTCTTTGTCCCATGGACTTCTATGTCTATGTCGCATCTGTTGTAAAGAATTGTTTGTAGACACACGATGTTTATGCTTTTAGGGGAAATTTTTGTTTGAGAAGTCAGAAGTTCTTTCGATCAAACAAAGGAGTTAGAAGTTCTAGGTGCTTCATGGCAATTGGAAAATCTGCGTGTTAAATGTCGGGAAAGGATTGACATGTTGGTCACATCTATCGGCATAAACTTGACACTTTGTAGGCTCTGCATTCGCACCATGTTTAATATGTTTTTCCCACAGCTTGTTCTTCTTGAAAGTCTTGATGTTCAGGCGAGTCTAGCTCAGGTTGTTTGATGTCAGGAACTCCCTAGCTCAATTATGTCTAAATTCTTGGTTTCAGTTATCTGGGATAAGCACATTTATATACTAGCTGAGTGTTAATCATAGAATTATAACCAAGGAGTTTAAGACACTTATACAACTTGTTTATGAGAAAGTGTTACGTAGTCTGATTTTATCTTCTGTTCATGGTCATTTTCATTATTATTTAGGTGAAAGTGGAAGATATTGATGCCTACGCTCCAAAGGATTTACTGATTGTGACTACTGGATCACAAGTATGTTATCTTACAGATCTCAGTGACTGCATGGCTCACTGATTATAGTTATTTATTTATTTTATATGACTGGCATGTGACGACCCATACTGCTGTGTCAGGCAGAACCACGTGCTGCCTTGAATCTTGCATCATATGGAAGTAGTCATTCTTTCAAACTGACCAAGGAAGATATAATTCTCTACTCAGCAAAGGTAATGGCATTATAGTTTATGTATTGGTTTCTGATAATAACTCTAAAACATATGTTCTTTAAGATCTTAATTGAACTGGATATCTGATCAAATTTAGTTAATATTCGTGACTCAGTGAATAATATTATAGTTTATGTATTGGTTTCTGATAATTACTCTAAAACATGTGGTCTGACATCTTAACTGAACTGGATATCTGATCAAATTAAGTTAATATCTTTGCCTCAGCGAATGATGCTTATCATAGCCAGCCTTGTAGTCCCTTTTTATTTGGAAAAGAAAAAATGTACTTGGAAGGTAATTTGTGGTTTTCAAACTTTTTTAATCATCTTCAATTCTGAATTATTCTTCTTGCAGTGTGTCATTCTTTCCTTTTATATAGTGGATACTATTGTAGAATACATAAAAGTTTATCTCATAAAAAATTGTAGAATACATAAAAGTACGCATTTTTTGACTAGACCTACATAAAATACATTATCTATAAGTACACACACACACATACATTGCAATCATTAGCATTCTCTAAGGATTTTATATTTAGTGGATCATCTACCATCAAAGTGTATTCTCAATATCTAGACACGTGTACATACACATACATATGCCTACATAAACACACAGATACATCCCAATGAAGTGTTATTTATTCAAATTATCATAGCATGGTTTGTTTCAGCTAGCTTAGTTGGTAAAATCACTTATGACGTATAAAGATTTGGGATCTAGCCCTGCTCAGACTTGGAAAGGATAACAATGGTGGGATTTTTAGCTGCTGCTGTTTAATCCTTGAGCCTAATGGGCCTCTTTTCGACCCAAAAGAAGCACCCTTATATTCTTTGGTACACAATTAGCAAATTTCTTGATGTTTGAACGTCCAAACATGCTGCTGCTTTTCCTCTTTTTTATTAGCATTTTACAGTCGGTTCCATGCATTTCAATTTTTATTATTATTTTAAAACATAAAGGTAATGGTGGTTACTAATTATGCGAGTTTAGATACCAAAATGATGCCACCATTATCTAATTAACTAAATTCTAAACTTTTTAATCAATGCTACTTGTCATGCTGATAGACTTGGCTGCAGAATTTATGGTTTTTGCTAGAGTATTTTGTAAGTTAGTCTAAGTTAGAGATTTTTGTTAAAAAGAAGAAGTAAACTTGAAGTAATTAAGATGGACTATAAATGTTAGATATTTGTGTATATGTGTGAATGTAGATATAATCATCAGTGTTAGTATATATTTAAAAGCCCATCTTTTGAGCTAAGCATCATGAATGCTGCACGCAAGTGCTGGAGTTTAGAAGTTTGCTTGCGAATTTTATTTATATACCTGGTGAAAATGCATAAAAATATTGTTTGTATAACGTTTATTATTATTACTATTTGTTTAGAAGGGAAAAATAGATTTGACAATATACGATGTTTGTTATCATTATTTTTTGTGGAATTATTTTAAAAAAATCATTATTTTTTGTGGAAGTCCTAAACAAGATTGATTCTAGGAAGATTTACTTCCTGCAGATGTCCTAAACATGATTGCTTCTGGGAAGATTTAATTCTTGGAGTGTCGGAGCCGAAATCGAGGATCTGGATTAGGATTCTCTCCTTGGAGACTCAATAGAATGTAGGAGCCCATTATTTCTGGTGTAAATCTTCTTCCTTCCTAGTAGACTCAATTGACTAGGGTGCTCTCCTAAATCATAGGTTTATAACTCTTGTAATCCTTCTCTATATACTTGGAATATTGGTGATCTAATAAAGAGGGAAAAAAAGAATTATCAAACAACAAGGTATCAGAGTTGTCTCTGAACCACTTATATCTTGGTCATAACATGCAAAATATGGAACAGCAAGCCCACACTCTGCAAGATCTAGAGTCATGACCATCCCTGTAAACTCTCTAGTAGCAATTAACGGAGGAATTGATATCCTGGCACTGTCCATCACTGGTCATAAACTCAATGGTCAGAATTACCTTCCATAGTCATAATTCATAATGATGTTCATATGTGAAATAGGGAAGGACGATTACCTCACAGGTAGTGCAGTTCCTCCACCGAAATGAGACCCAAATATAGAGCTTGGAAATCTGAAAGCAACGTGGTGATGTCCTGGCTTATCAACTAGATGACAATCGAAATTGGGAGAACTTTCTTCTATTTGGATTGGCCAAAGAGATTTGGGATGTAGCAAAAGAAATTTATTCCAAAGTCCATAACACATTCGAACTATTGGCCGTGGAAAGCGCATTCCATGACTTACAGTAAGGAGATTTACGTGTAACTCACTACTTCAAAATCTTTTAACTTGCAATTGACAGCAACTCAACATGCTTGAAAAGCATCAGTGGAATTGTCCTGAAGATGGCTTGAGGTACAAAAGAATCATGGAAAGGAGAAGACTTTGTAAATTTATGCTCGGCTTCAACAAAGAGCTACACAATGTGCGAGGGAGAACTTTTGGGTTCAAAAACCCTTACCTAGTGTCCACCGAGGCTTTCTCTGTGGAGCACGTGGAGGAAAACAGAAAGAAAGTCATGCTTTGCAACCTCAATTCACTGTAAACTCCAGAAAGTTTCGGACTTTCTGCCAAAGTAGCTGAATAAGCCAGGGAGAGAGTGAACAGAAAAAGGAAAGACCTTGGTGTGATTATTGTTGAAAACCAGCGCATTCAAGGGAAATTTGCTGGAAACTTCACGTGAAACCAGCAGCTTGGAGACCCTCAAGGAACTCAAACAGCAAGGAAGTAAATGGATTTGTAGTTGCAAGAGAAGACTCCACTACACCTGAATCGATGCTGTTTAATAAAGGATAGATGAAGTTATTGCAGAAGTTAATCAATCCTTATCAAATAAGCTGCCAAGCGGATGGTACTGGGTCAATGGCTTACTCAAGTAATTTTGTAAATGCTGTAACCTCAAGAAATAAATTGGACAACACTTGGATCTCGTTTCTGGTGCTTCAGATCATATGACAGGTGATTGTAGAATCTTCACTACATATATTCCCTGCCGTGAGTACCTGTTAGAAAAAATTTCTGTGGACTTCAGCTCAAGTTATTGGAAAGGGTTTAATACCTCTAACTAAAGATATGACCTTGAATTCAGTGCTTCTTTGCATTAGGACTCTATATCCTCATAGCGCAATTACATCCAGGAACAACTATCTAGTTTTACCTCTCTCACAAGGCAAGATGATACTAGTAGATTACGGCACTATAGATTAGCACATCCCAACATTAGTTATCTACAAAAACTTGTTTCCTCATTATTCGATGAAGAGTTTAAGAATTTCCAGTGTGAAGGTATCTGGCTTGATCATGTACTAAAAGAACTAGGAATTGAAAATTCCACTCCTATAAAGCTATTTTGAGGTAATTTATCAGCCATAAGCATTGGTGACAATCTTGTTCTTTGTGATTGTACGAAGTATGTTATAATAGACCGATATTTCATAAAAGAGAAAATAGCACAAGAAGTAATTCATGTGGTACACGTCACTACAAGTCAACAGAAAACACAGATCTTGACAAATCTCTGATGAAAAAGAACTTTGAAGATCTGAGCTTCAAATTTGGCATGATTAACATCTATGCTAGCTTGAGAGGGAGAGAAGTTCTATATAATTTTGATTATAGGAAGATTTATTTCCTGTAGAAGTCCTAAACAAAATTGATTCTAGGAAGATTTACTTTTTAGATTGTAGGAGCCGAAAATCTAGGATCTAGATTTATTTATTTATTTATTTTTGAGATAAAAATGTATAATATATATTGACAAGAGACCAAAAAAGGGGGTACTGCCCGTTTATAAAAGATTTACGATCATGCTAGCGTATCAATGATATTTTCGAAATGTACATCACTGATAATGTCATGATCAAGTAAAATAAACCTAAAATAATGAAGCCACCTATCTTTTATACTAGAAATACTCTCTCAACACTATCAAAAGTTTTACTATTTCTTTCATTCCAAATGATCTAGAAAACAGACAAAGGTATCAAGTTAGTAATCTTATTTTTTATATATAAACCATCCTACGCCCAGATTTCACCCTCCACGGACCCAGCCATAACCCAATCCAAACCCAAAAGGCCATAAACCAAGCTCTAAAGACTATGAGCAATCGGACACCACAAAAGGAGATGGTTACATGTTTCCTCAGCATTTCAGCAACAATAACAACCATTAATGAGCACCCTTCCTCTATTTCTCAGCTTGTCAATAGTTAAAATCCTCTTCGAACAAGCCTCCCAAGCAAAAAAGGCAATGCGGGGTAGAGCCTTGGTTTTCCAAATTTGCTTGGCAGAAAAGTTACATCTCAACATTTTCTCTTTTCTATTCAAATGATGGTAGTATGACTTGACGGAAAAGATGCCACTCTTTTCAAACTTCCACACAGCCCGGTCATCAGAATTAGAAACCAACAACATCAACAAATCCTCAAACTCATGAACTTCCCAGTCATTCAAATTTCTGCAGACATTAATCTCCCAAACAATACTGCCATTAGGATCTAGATTTATACTCGGATCTCATAATTTCTGGTGTAAATTTTCTTCCTTCCTAGGAGACTCAATAGATTACGATTCTCTCTAAATTGTGGGTCTAACTCTTGTAATCATTCTCTTTATATTTGGACTGTTTGTGATCTAATGAAGAGGAAGAAGAAGAATAATTATTAAACAACATTTGTCGAAATTTTATGCATGCGTAGTATCCAATGAACACAATCTTGGTGGCAAATACAGTATATTAAGATCATAATCTACTTGTGAAAATGACTTTAGTTTAACAAAACTAATCATCAGTTATCTTACATGCATTTAGTTGTATAATTGAAGTGGTTTTCAATGAAGATACCTCTTTTCAAATGAAATCTCAATTCTTTAATCAAACATTAATCAACAAGATTAATTGTCAATTTATCTCATATGTATTTAATTTGTGCTGTGACAGTGGGGATTTTAGTGGACCTTATCCCTTAATGGAACCAAAAATCTTTAATCAAATTAGACTTGGCTCCCAATAAGTGGAACATGTCACAACTTATCAAACAAGGATTACTATTATTATTACTATTATTATTATTGTTACTATTATCATTATTATCATTAATTGTTTTTGCTGTTATATGTTCTAAAGAAATTTTTTTTTCTTTTTCTGACTTTTCTTCTTCTTGGAGAAGAAAAGATGTATTTTATTGAGTATTCATCTTTGTGGATGGTATACGATTTAATATTTTATATTCCACAAGGCTTTTATTCCAAGCAGCAACTAGTTATTTCTTTTATTCTGAGTCATGATATTGTTTTTGTATTTTACCTTCTAGGTTATTCCTGGTAATGAATCACGAGTGATGAAAATGCTAAACCGCATATCAGATATAGGATCAACTATAGTGATGGGCAGGAATGAAATGCTGCACACATCTGGTCATGGATACCGTGGAGAACTGGTAACTTTCAATTCTCTCCAAAATATTTCATTTAGTCTTTCTGCATCTTACCTTTTCTGTATCTGTTATCTTATGCCTTCTCGTAGGTTTTGTTTAGTGAAGAAAATGGAAAAGTAATAGCTTAAAGATTTGAAGGATAGAGATATCAAAAGGAAAAAAAAAAACTTTTTTTTTAAAATAAAAACGTATGATTCATTCACAGCACCAAGAGGGTACAAACCTCTGTACAATGCTATTTACATATCAAACAAAATGTTAATTAAGTCCCCAAAGTCCTCAAATGAGTAAAGAGGATGACCCATAACTCTATTAAAATCACCTTCCAGGCCCTCAAAAGCTCTCTTGTCATCTTTTTCCTCACTACCTAAAATGTAGTAAGGGGACGAGGCTAACATGTTTCTTCACACTGTCAATTCCTTTCCACACTCTAATTTCTTCTTTTACTGAATCAATCATCAAGTAATTAATACCAAGAGACCGTAAGTAAGGGTACACAATTTATACCCAAAAGGACACTACAGAAGGATATGATTACACAATTTTATCTCCCTTTTATCAAAAAACAACCATTCACCAAAATCATGCCCCTTCTAATCAGCTTGTTCAGAGTTAAAATGCAATGTCTACCCACCTCCCATGTAAGAAAAAAACAACTTTAGATATAGCATTAATCTGCCAGATTTTTCAGGAAGGAAAGTCTGTATCTGTGGCCTCTTTTGTTTTTTATTTATCAAGTCATTATAGAAGGATCTAATAGAGGAAATCTCTTTATCATTGAGCCTCCAAACTGGTTGGTCTCTAGTCTTACTAACCCTAACGCTAGCAAGGATGAGAAGTAGAACCTCATACTCCCTAACTTCCCAATCATTGAAGTTTCTCGTGACCTACATATTCCACTCTCACTCCCCCACCAGTACCATGATATGATTTATGAATTGAGATATTTTTGTTCCAAGCAATAACATAGATCTGAGACAATGTTTTCTGAGTATGCCACCTTCCAACCAAGTATCATGTCATAAGCTAATTGAATGTTCCAAACTTCACCTCAGCCACCCTTCATCGGAGACTTTCTTTTTGTACTTCCATGTCAATGAGTTTGCACACACCTCCCTTTTTTGTACTTCCAGTGCAATTTCTTCCCTTGTCTCTTCTTCCTCCCCTATGTTAGTGCACCTTCCCCTTTATCTATGACCTTCCTCATCATCAGAATCCGTCTTGAAATACTGCATTACCCCTGCTCTCGCCATTTAGGATTCTTTGCCTTTTCTCCAACACACGAGTCAGGCACTTTCTTTTCCTCACGGGTCACAGTCTCTTAAGGGCCAAAATGGACTCTATTTAATCCATTTTCCTTTCTCGGCTGAGCTAAATTTCAACCCTCTGCCAGCTCTTGTCTTATTATTGGGCTCCTTAAGTTGAGGCCCATTCGGAACCCTATTTTCCCAAAAATGATGCTACTAATTTTGCATTTTGTTAAAATTTAAATTTCACCTGATCTATCTTGAATTTGGGTCTCTTCTTCCCTGTCGACTCCCCTCTCTCTTACCCTCCTTCACCATAATAGTGAAGTTCCTCTGTCTCTTGACCTCCGACCTCATATCAGCTCCACCTTACAGCTTGGGCATTGCAGGATGCTAAGTGGTGTTGTGGACCACCTTTGGGCAAAGCTCCTTCTGGTGCTCAGTTTGAGCACCTTTAGTTTCCCAGGCACATCAAACTTCCTCCCCACTATTTCAACCAGTGCCACTATCATCCTCCTCCACCCTCCTGCCTGTGGGCCCTCTAGGATGAAGATGCACCTCGATTCATCCCCTTTATTGTCTGTAATAACAAAAAACTTACCCTGTTGTTTCCCCCTATGGCCACCCAGAGATTGTGGTTTCTTCCTGGCGTATTCCATCCCCAGAATTCTGCTCCTCTCATCCAATAAAATTCCTGCAGAGCACCCAGCAGCCACTCGACTTTTTCCTCTCAAAACATGATAGTCAACCTAAATCCGCTCCCATTTTCAGTCACTGTAATACCTTCAGCTTTCTTCCCTGCAAAAACATCAAAAGTTTTGTTTTCTATAACCAGAGATCACCATGGCCTCCTTATCACTCGCTGTGGGGTGCGAGCAGGAAGGAGAAAAATGGTGGTCATACAAAGATGCTCAGCCTACGACTGTGCAGATTCTCCTGAACCTAAGAGATGCTGAGACTAAGACACAACAGAATATACGTGATAAAAAAGAAAAATGATGTTTTCTGCCTATGAATTCATAAAGAGAATAAGAAAGTGGAAGAGGAAAAAGGGACCAAAAATGTATCAACTCTCACTTTGTGATGATTTCTTTCTCCACGCTATGACCTTACTCATGGTTAACGTGTTTTTAAGTTATTTATTTTTTAATGGTTTCTTCCCTTACTAGATCACTTTTATAAGATGTTATCTAATCACGACTCACATTCTCTGAAGGAAGAAGTACTTAAACTGGTGAAGCCACAACATTTTCTTCCCATCCATGGAGAACTCTTGTTCCTGAAGGAGCATGAACTACTTGGAAAGTCGACTGGCATTCGACACACTACTGTAAGTCTCTCTACCAACATGTCTGGATGAGATATGAGGGAGAGAAAGAAAGAGTTATCAGATGTTATGGATCGTGTGATTGCTTCTTTAGAAATCCACTTCTACTTCCTGTATTGTCCATCTTATCTGCATGATTCTCTGTAAATTAGCTGTTCTTTTCCTATTAACTTCTGCAATATGATGCTGATTTTTTATCAAACGAGGTTTTGTTCAATAGAAGTTATGTTTGCTCTCATGGAAAGCTTTCTTCACTTATCATTCTCACAACTAAGATGGTTGCTTGGGACTTATTTACGTTCATGTCTGCAAGAAAGAATAAGAACCTGTATGTAAATTCCCAAAACATAGATTGTCCACTATTATAAGAAACTAATTGTCCATAATGCATCTGACTTTTTCAGGTTATAAAGAACGGAGAGATGCTTGGAGTTTCACACTTGAGGAATAGGAGAGTTCTGTCTAATGGTTTTATTTCCCTTGGAAAGGAGAGTTTGCAGGTTGGTTATTATCAATGTTTTTCATCTGTCTAATATATATTTATTTAGTTGGAAAGATATTGAGACATCTTGTATTATTGCAGTTATGTATTGCGATGGTGATAAAGCATTTGGTACATCAACTGAACTCTGTATTGAGGAGAGACTTAGAATTGCATCAGATGGCATTATAGTGGTCAGGTACGTCTTCAGTCCTTACTTGTTTTAAATTCAGGTAGACATCTGTTAACTGCATGAGGTGTCTTGACATGAATCTATTACAGCATGGAAATTTTACGCCCTCAAAATGATGATCTGATGGAGAATAGACTAAGAGGAAAAATAAGAATCACTACACGTTGCTTATGGCTTGACAAAGGGAAGCTTTTAGATGCAATTTACAGAGCTGCACATGCTGCACTTTCAAGTTGTCCTGTGAATTGCCCTCTAGCCCACATGGAAAGAACTGTGTCCGAAGTGTTGAGGAAGATGGTAAGGAAGTACAGTGGTAAAAGGCCTGAAGTTATTACCGTTGCCACAGAAAATCCTGCAGCTGTTCTCTCGAATGATCTCAGTGAGCGGCTATCTGGCGATTCACATGTTGGTTTTGGGGTATCAGCATTGAGGAAAGTGGTGGAGAAACATCCAAAAAGTAGCTTGTCAAACAAGATGCAAGCAGAAGGTAGTCATATAAGAGAGAAGTCAGAGCATAATCTAGAAGGTTATCTCTCTCTCCCTGCCTCCACCTTCACGTCCATCTCTTGATTACGCGCTGAATTTCTGGGTAGTTTATATGAGAAATGTTGAATGAAAAGGAGGATTTCTGGGAATTTATATTAGGTATAAAGTATAAAATTGGGGAAGCAATGGAAAATTGTCTACGAATTTCTGTCCTCATACTATGGAAATCTCAATACCACACCTATAAAGCCTCAGTTTTTAGGTTTATAAAGATTATATAGCTAATCACTTGAGCTGCTTTCACAGATATTATGATTGCAATGAGGTAAATTAGTAAAAGTATATCCCAAAGAAAACGAAAACCAGAATCAAACCCCAGTAATTGGATTCAAGAAAAGAAAAAAAAAGTCAAATGAAGTCTCACTTCTTAAGCCTTCAAAATAAAAATCAAAATATATTAAAACTTCGTTTGATTCTTCAGATATTTGATTTGTTGGATTCAAGAAAAGAGAAAATAAAGGTAAGGAAAATCTCACTTCTTGAACCTTAGAAATAAAAATAAAAAATAAAATAAAAATTTGATTCCAAGGAAATTGATTTGCTGCAATAGGCAGTACTTTCTCTTCTATACTGCCAATGGGCTGTATAATGTTTCACTCAGTTATCGCTTGACTTGAGTTGTTAATGCCCCCAAATCAAAGCGTGGATTGCTAAATCTGCCCGTTCTCATTCCTTCTATTATAGCGAGAGAAGTTGCTTGCATTTATTTGCTTGTATGTGTATCTGTTGATGTTGAAGAACACATATATATCTCTTGCATGCATATAACAATTTACTTTCTTGAGAATGTGCTTTATACGATTTTCTTCATTTCATTCATTATATTTTATTATCACAGTTGATGACACTGAGGATGGGACACTACTACCCGAGGAAGATACTCCTGTTTCTAGTTTGGATAGCACCGAAAGACTTGCATCCAAGACTGAGGATTCGGATGATTTCTGGAAAACTTTCGTCAAATCGCCATCACCTGTTGAATCAGAAGCTGACAGCAGGGGCCATATCACCGAGATCAAGGAAGATGGTAGTGAAAGCAGTGGAGATGACTCTAAAACAGAAAATTCTCTGCCCAAGTCTTCCAAGCGTGTAAAAGGGAACAAATGGAAACCTGAAGAGGTTAAGCAGCTAATTAGAATGCGTGGAGAATTGCATGCCAGATTTCAAGTTGTAAAAGGTAGAATGGCCCTCTGGGAAGAAATTTCTGCTAGCTTGATGGCTGATGGGATAAATAGAAGTCCAGGACAATGCAAATCTCTCTGGGCATCTCTGGTACGGAAATATGAGGTCTGTTCTTTATCGTTATAAGCCATGCGTGAAGCATGGGTGGCACATTATGCTTTAAAATATGTGTAGTGTTTGCAGGAGGAGCAAATGCTAATGTGAGTGTCGGTCTGCTGCATGTGTATGTGCAAATGTTTACAGTTTTCCTGCTTTTACATGGTCCTTTCCGCACCCCATCCAGAAATTTGGAAACAAGATGCTTGCGTCCCAGTTTTTTAACTTTGCTGGTCTATGGCAAAGCTTGTTTAAGAGCATCTCTGGTCTTTTAGAGCATTCTGTTTTAATCAGTAGTTGATAATTTTATTCATAATGCTAGGTGTACTTATATGGAAGCTAATTGAATTAATTCAGATTCCTATTACAATTCCAGAAATTATAATACAAATTTGTTCTAATTTCCTAATCTAAATCTAAATATTTGATAAAAATTCCTAAAGAATTTTAAATCAATCTTGTTCCTTTTGGAAACTCACGTCCTGCCCAACTGCAAAGCTTTGTCTGCCATACTCCTTTCTTTTGCTGCTTCTTTTATGGGTTCTACACCTATATGTTTTTCCAGTAAATTTATCCTGTAAATATGGCTGTAGGACCTCCTATAGGTCCGATGTAACATTAACCTTTTGGACTTCAACCCAAGATGAATTTGTTAAAACCATTTCGCTCAACAGCCCCAACTCTATATATGCATATGTTTGAGTATTAGTTACATGGGTGATTAAATCCTTTTTAGTTATACATGCGGGACTCATCCTTAATTCTTCATGTATTGTTTATCATATGACTTACTGATAATCCCATTCTTTATGTGCAAACAGGAAAGCAAGAATGTAAAGAAAATCCGAAAAAGTTGGCCATATTTTGAAGACGTGAGTAATATTTTATCAGACTCTGCGGCAACAGCAACTAAGTGATAGTGAGAAAAAATTGAGGATGTTGCCCGCAGAGAGCATAGTAAAAGGCAGTCTGGTTTCAAATTTAAGTTCAGACTGAATGATCCATCAATGGCATAATATTTGCTTTACAACAGATTGATCATGTGGAATATCCTGTACAAGTGAAGAATGGGTGGAAGGACAAATGAATCGACAGGTCTGGTTTTGAAATACTTCTGTAAAAACCCACCATAATTAAGGAGATGAATCATCAGTAAAGGGAAACTAGAGAGGAAGCAGTTTTGTAGCCTGGCATATCTGTAGTTCTGACGGTTGTCAGATGGTTTAGGAAGAGCTAGTTGGGGGGTAATTTCTATTGTAAGGGAGGTTGAACCTCTGTTGTTTCTCTTATTCTCCTTAATTTATTTTCTATTATTTGAAAGCCCACGGAAATTATATTTGGATATCCGGTCAAATTTAGTAAAATTACTAGATGATATTCTCTACCCAATTCCTACGAGGTTCGAATATTTCTATAATGGTTTTTACGCAGATAGGAGTTCTGAATCTGATGATGCTTGGTGTCGCATGGGAAATAATTCAACTGGGTGATGTGCTGCTGTTTTCAACTTTCACTGTTTGAAGGTAATTCACTTGGGTAATTTACCGATATGCTATATAATTTGCACCAATTTGTTATAATTTGATAACTATATTGATAGCAGGTTGTTGCCTCACAAGTGATGCCCGTAATAATTAAGCCGATGATATATATGTATATATATATATAAAATACATAATAATAAATAAATTTCTAAAGCCTTAAGTTATAGTAAAAACCAAATTAAACACTATCATATTATTCTTTTCTTTTCTATTAAACGCTAAAACGGAGTAAAGTAATGTAGAAATTATTGATGGAAGAGTTAGCACAGCTAACATTCCTAATCTCTTGAAAAACTTACATGAGGAGGCAAAGCTTGAAGGAACTTGAATTGGGTTCCACATAAACTTACCAAACAGGTAAAAAGTTCCTGGTTACTTCTCCAACCGAGATTCCCAAGAAAGTTGAACCAAACAGAAAACTATTTTCCCAACTACATTTGCCTAAACTTAACACCAAGTTGGGCAACCTTGGTAGTATAAGAGGAACCCATTAAGACTCTGCAAATCACCTCTCTCTTTGAACCTTTAAAAGAAGCTGCTTATCAATTAAATCTATTTGATTAGCAATGGCGATTAATGGGAAATGGATAGTGATTAGTACATTATTTGTTGTGTTAATGTCAGGTTGGAGCAATATCGAAGTGGGTGTAGAGGGTCGCCGGCTGTTGCAAATTCCGGCCATGCCCAATATTCCTACACCAACAACAGTGCCACAATTGCCAACAATGCCAAATCTCCCTAATCCCACAATCCCACAGTTCAATTTTCCTCAATTGCCTCCCAATTTTCCATCCATTCAAGCTATCATTTCTTCTCTCTTCACTCCACCGGCCGCACCTTCTACTTCTACTTCCACCCCTTAAATTTACGTATTATCTTTCGATTATTATATTTAAGTGTGTTCAGATTTCGATATGAATTAATAAATATTTAAAATTATGTTTAAAAATACTATGTAATTTTTTTTTTTAATTTAAAGTTTAATTTCAATGTATGTACTTTTGTAATATATTACAAAGAACTATAGTTTTAAGGCTGGAATTTGTATGTTGGAGAAAAAAGTTGTTTGTAATCACTATATATGTATTTGTTTGAGTGATGTGGGGAGAGTTCTTCCACCTATTGTTATGTATCTTGATTTAACATCAATATATATATGTATTATATGTTATTGATCTCATTATCTTTTCTCATTTTTTAAACCGATCAACTGTTATTAGTATAAGTTGTCAATTATTTGGATGGCTAGTAATTGTACTTTTTTTAAAAGAAGATATGAGTTTGAATTTCCTTCACAACCAGAAAATTGTTTCATTGACAACTAATCCAAACGGTGCCGTTTTGGGACATTGAAAAATTTATGCCCAGTTGCCTGTAGGCTGCTGCGACACAGGAAACCAGACACTTGCACTTTCCTTCCCTCTATCTGAAGGAGCTTCTTCTTCCCAACTCTCTTCGGTATTTTGAACTCATTTCCTCTTCGGAAATGTCAGATGCAATCCCATTGCCCCCACCTGCACCACCCAGATCGGCCATGGACCTCTTCTCCGATCCACTAGATTCTCACCCGCTCTGGTTCAAACCTTCTCTCTTCCTATCTCCAACTTTCGATTCCGAATCCTACATCTCGGAGCTCCGAACTTTTGTCCCATTTGACACGCTTCGATCTGAGCTTCAGGCCCACCTTGCCTCGCTCAACCACGAACTCGTCGACCTCATCAACCGTGACTATGCCGACTTCGTCAACCTCAGTACCAAGCTCGTCGACGTCGACGCCGCCGTTGTTCGCATGCGGGCCCCGCTTCTGGAACTCCGCGAGAAGATCCAGGGATTCCGAGCTTCCGTGGAGGCCGCACTCGTTGCGCTCAGAAATGGATTGCAGCAGCGATCCGAGGCTGCCGCCGCTAGGGAAATCCTCGAGTTATTGCTCGATACGTTTCACGTTGTTTCTAAGGTATGCTGAATTCCAAAATGTAATGTGCATCCCTGCGTTGTGTTTTTGGATCTAGAGATAGTGTCCGCATTTTGAAGCTTACTGCTTCATGATTGCGGATATCGTGGGCTTGGAATTGAATTCAGGTTCCTATATCTGTTGCCATGACTGAATCAAGGTTTAAGAATGCAACTCGGATCATATATACACCTTAAACCTAATCGTGTAAAGTGTTGAATTTCTTTTTTTTGGGGGTTGAAGGGGTGTCGGGTTTGTATTGTCAGTAAAAAAGCTACGATCTACCGGGCTTCAATCTCTTGCTCTGTTCTTTGTTTTGGTGAACTGTTGTTTTTGAATTTAAACTAAAAAACTGCATCCTTTTCTCAAGCATGTTTTCTCCTTTTCCATGGCTTATTTCTGTGAGTAGATATTCTGTCTGTCTGTGTAATTTAGATTATTTTTATTCTTAAATCTGTTGTGATAATTTCAGCATTTATGTATTTTTAGTGACTGCAGGTTGAAAAACTTATAAAGGAGCTACCAAGCGTGCCTTCAGATTGGTCAAATGGGGATGCGAATTTGACAGGAAAAAATGCTATCAGCAATGGGAATTCATCACAGCATGTTGAGAATGGAACGAATCTGAGGGAGACTCAGAGCATGCTTTTGGAAAGGATAGCCAGTGAGATGAATAGACTGAAGTTCTATATTGCTCATGCACAGGTCTTTTTTGTTTCATCGCTCCTCTCTGTTTCTTTTAATTCTGAGATTGTTGAACCGTGGAAGTAAATGGTAGTTTTACCTTAAATGCTGTTAGAATTTCATCTGTTGTTCTTTCAATAACTTATTTGTTTGAATCATCATCATTGGTTTTTCTTTTTTGGGTAACTTTCAAATAAAGTGGGAAGTAACAGGTTTTAAGGACTGAATGAATACCATATGCTGGGTTTTTTCTGCTGCTACTTGTCACACCATCCCACCATATTGCTCTGGTGTCAGTTTGTGACAAATAGCAATCAGTTGTCATGCGGTGACACCATTAGTACTCAATATGTTCCTGGTGGACGTAATAGTCCGAAAATTTTGATAAATGGTTTTATTTATTAAGAGGCTATCATTTTTTGGAGATGGAAAACTAAGGGGGTCCTGAGGCTCTAATTTCTTGGACAATTGGTTTATGTAGGAAGACTGTTTGACGATGAAAGTTGAGAGTGTTGACTTTTGTTGTTTTGAAGTTCTAAAACAAACTCAAGTCACTGCTGAAATTAAACAGATCAAGCAATCTATTCCAGAATTGTGTGAATTAATAATGTTGACTGTGAGAGAGCGATTGCTTCTGTGTGAGTTACAGAAAAAATCAAGAGTTGCGAGTGAAAATATGTGGTTTTGTCAAAGCTTATGATTATGTACAGAACTAGATTGCCATTGTCGAGAAGTTAATCTTGCTGATTTTACTTTGTAAGAGGAGTTCTTTTCTAGGAACTGAAATTTCATTCTCATTTCTCTTCTCAATTATGCCAATACAGAATCTTCCTTTCATTGAGAACATGGAAAAAAGGATTCAGAGTGCTAGCCTGCTATTAGATGCGAGCCTTGGTCATTGTTTTGTGGATGGGTTGGAAAACCGAGATGCAAATGCAATTTACAATTGCTTACGTGCATATGCTGCTATTGATAACACCAGAAATGCAGAAGAAATTTTTCGCACTACTGTTGTGGCTCCTTTGATAGAAAAAATTATTCCACATGGAACTTCAGCAGTGGTTGCTACAGCATCTGGGGATGATCTTCAGAGTGATTATCAACAAATCAAGCAACGTATCGAGAAGGATTGCAAATTTTTTGTTGGAAATTTCTTCTACAGGTATTTATTTCTGTACAAAGTCTGGAGTCGTAGACCCACATTATTGACCATTATACTCTTATAAAAAAAATTTACGTCTAAGATACGCATCATTTGATTTCTGATAATCATTGGTCGATACTGCATGAACTTCACCAAAAATTTTCAATCCTTGACCCAAAATGTTGACAATTATATTTTGAGAATCATAGGTCGCTTTTGCATGTGCTACACCATCCTTCAGTTCATCTGATTAGTTTCTGGTAAGATACAAATCATTGAGTGTGTGTCTGGTCTATTTCCGTCTTCTTGTCTGGCAATGGTCCTCCTTTCTTTACTGCCACCGGCTCTTTTGGTGCTCCTACCCTCATGCCTATTCCATTTCTTTTTCTTTTCCAGAAAATTCAGGTTTACACGTCTTTGACTTCTTAGCCAATTCAATCCTGAAAGAGATACTCTTAGCCATTCAAAAGGGAAAACCCGGTGCTTTTTCTCCTGGAAGACCTACTGAGTTCTTGAAAAATTACAAAGCAAGCCTGGATTTCCTGGCTCATCTTGAAGGTAGTATTTGCTTCAGTTCATACTTGAAATCTGATCTGGCTAACTGGGGTCAATTAGCCAAATAGGCAAGTTGTTCATCATATTTAAATTATTCATTTGTCATGCAAGGCTATTGTCCATCAATATCTGCTGTCACAAAATTTCGAGCGGAACCTGTCTATATTGAGTTCATGAAGCAATGGAATGTTGGGGTATACTTTTCTTTAAGGTAATTGCTGCAATTCTTTGCTGATCACTTTACTAGTAGATGAGTGCAAAAATTTGTTATTCAGTAATAAACTGCTTTCATAACTTAAATCATCTCAGATTCCAGGAGATAGCTGGAGCTCTTGATTCTGCACTTACAACTTCCAGTCTTGTTCCCGTTCAGAATTCACAATCTGACCGAGGAAGTTCGCAAGACTTAATTTTGAAACAGAGTACTACTCTTTTGGAGAGCTTGAGATCCTGCTGGAGGGAAGATGTTGTTGTCCTTTCTTCTGCTGATAAGTTTCTTCGCTTGACCTTGCAGATTATTTCAAGGTCAGTACCGACTGGAAATTATATCAATTTAGTCTAATTTCTTACACATTATAATTTGACTGTATTAATTTGTCTAGATACTGCAACTGGTTGTCATCGGGATTGACTGCTCGGAAGATGGGTAATTCTGGCTCTATCCTGATGTGAATGGGCTGTTTCAGCTACCCAGATGATTTATTTATGTATGTCTTCGTTTCTTGTGTTATCTATGATTTTCCCACTTTGTACCATTTTTATGTGTTACTGATAGTCAATTACCATGTTTTATCTCTACCAGGCAAATATCCTTTTAGATTATGTTAGTCATTAACCTAGTAGTTTGGGCTAGTAATTGAAAGGACCTTATGACCTATGTATGAAATCAATATTTTCAGCCATCATAATTGTGCAACAACTGTTATTTTCAGATTATTCATGACATAAACTGTCTGGCCTTGGAGGTTTGCAGTGACTACCTTGGTCATGTACTGCAACTTCTATCTTCATGCTCCATGGAGGTTCTTGACCTAGTAAAGCAGAGTATTTTACGGGGTGGGGAATCACTGAAGGGTCTAGTACCTTCGGTTGTCAACACAATAGTAGATTCCCTTGTTGAGAAGTCAGTTGAGGTAAGCTTTGTTTTATCTATGGCTCCTAAAGTTGGTTGTGCAATGGATGTGTGTACTTGAGTTTACGTATCCTTCTCTAGGTGCAAAATCACTGGAAAAAAGTTGGTGATCTTCTTATACTGGCCATGCATTTCGAAGATTCTTAACTATTATCCATTTTGTGATTCTTTTTCATGCATGGTTAATTTTTCTTATAAATTATGTAGGACTTGAGACAACTAAAGGGAATAACTGCTACCTACAGAATGACAAATAAACCTCTTCCTGTCAGGCATTCACCGTATGTTGCGGGAGTACTGCGTCCCTTAAAGGTATGCATATTTCATTTATGTTACATTTGGTATACACCCATGACAGTCACATTCAGTTTTTAGATCTTAATTATTTGATATATAAAAGTTAATTATAATTTACATCTTTGATGTGTAACTGAATCAACTCTACTCATTTTTCAATTTATTAGTAGAGATTTGTATTCCCACCTATCAATTAAAGAATCACTTAATTCTTTAACTTGAATTGTACATGAAATTAACCTGGAATTGCAATTTTTATTTATTTTGTGTTGTCCTCCTATTTCTACTCCATAAAATTAAAATCTGAACCAAACTCAAGATATAGTTTGTGACGCTATTATAGTCAAGCAGTGGATTCCCATTCCAGTTGTTGCCAGATTCTCTAATGTAGAAATAATATTGTGGCTGTTCTGATGATCCATTTATGGACCTATTTTACCTTTATGTTATTAATAGTGTTCTTTCAAAAAAAAATTTTTAGCAATAATGTGCTTCCTGTGGGTGCATCATTATTGGTTTACATGTAACCAAAGCAGCCATAGATATAGAGCATTTTGATTTGTTATCTTATGCTTTGATTTTTGAAGAAGCATGCTCTTGATAGAGCAGATGAGCTTCCTTTGTTCATTTCTATGGTGGTTAGTGAAGTCTATGCAATAATTGTCATGGTGTTGTTGATTTTTTGGGCATAGATTCATTTAGTATAGGGCATTTTGACTTTTTTTTATCCCCCAAAATTTTATTTCTGTTATGTTTGGAGAAAAACAATTAAATGAATGAAGAGGAATGGAAACGAAGAGTGTTGTTTTTAAAGAAAAAGAAAGGAAAAATGTCTTTCTTATTCAGAAAACTAAAATTTGAAAAGATAGAAAAAAAAGATTGTTTGTAATATTTTGTTCGCTTTAGCTTTATAAAGGAAAGGAAAATCTCTCTTGTGAGAAAATAGTCAATAATCCCCTTAATTTATATAACAACAATTTTAGCCAAAAAGTTAATTAGCTAGTAATGAGAGGAGAAAATTTTTCTTCCAAATATTTTTAAGCCCTTTTCCTTCATTTGTCTTCGATTTGGAGAAATGAAAGAGTTGGACCTACAGGGAAGAGAGG